ACCATTAAATATACCCCAAAAATGCGGCAGATAATCAAAACATGCTCAAACCATCGTCCCAGACTGTTTTTTGGGACTATTTTTGAACATTCCCCCCTCTACAGGGCAGTTTTGCATACATGGGATGTTTAAACAGATGGGATGTCTAATGCATGAGCAAGGCACGAACAAACGCATGCATGAGCCCATCGCTGTTTTTAGTACCGAACCCCTGCATGCCTAATACACGATCCGCACGCGGGGCATGTATAAAAGAACGGCACTGTAGGGGGAGAGGCCCTACGGCCATAGCTCCCATCATCTATGATGGGAGCTGCCGGAGCTCCGACCTCCGGCCCTTAGGCTACTGGCCATAGGGCCGGAGGTCGGAGCTCCGGCTCGCCACACGAGTGACGATCGCGGGAGCGTAGCGACAGCGAATGGCCGTAAGGCCGGAGTCCCTATAGGACTCCAGGGTCTACGAGGCCGACTTCCGCCCGGAGGGCCTCGAGAAGACGCAGGGCCCGCCGACGCTGGGCGCCAGGCAGGGGTGGTACCGAACCCCTGCATGCCTAATACACGATCCGCACGCGGGGCACGTATAAAGGAACGGCACTGTAGGGGTCTACGACCCCGACCTCCGCCCGGAGGGCCTCGAGAAGGCGCAGAGGCCCGCCGACGCTGGGCGCCAAGCAGGGGGGTGGGCCCGTGGAGGCCCGCGTTCCGGGGGCCCTGCGCCGCGCCGTCAACAAAAACAGCACGGGGGGCGAGACGGATGTCCTCCTCCTCCTCCTCCTCCTCCGCCTCCTCCTCCTCCTCCGCCTCCGCCTCCTCCTCCTCCTCCTCCTCCTCCTCCTCCTCCTCCTCCTCCCCCTCCTCCTCCTCCTGCTCCCCCTCCTCCTCCTCCCCCTCCTCCCCGTCCTCCTCGTCCTCCTCCTCCTCGGGGGCTCCAGGGACCACGTGCTGAAAAAGCGCCAACATCACGCCCGATGTATGGACGCGTGTGCATGCATACGCCCTCCTGGCCTGGGCAGGGAAGGCGTGTGTACACCAAGCCTGAGCCCAGGATTGGCCTGGCCATGGTCGGCGTTGGCACATGGACGGCGTCTCAAGGCTCCTTAATTCGCTTGTACTTCTCATCCTTGGTCTTGGCCGTGAGGCCTGACCAAGGCAGAGAGCCCCTCACAAAGTCCGCCACCGTGCCCCCTGCCACGCTGCGAAGTCGTATGCTGCTCGAGGACTCCTACGCTGTCTGGCTGGGCTTCTGAAGCTTTCTGAGCGGCCCCGTGCGTCGCACACGTCGTGCTTTTCAGTTCGCGGTTCCTGGCGATCTCGGCCCGTTACCCAGGGTCACATGGTTCGTCGTGGCTAGTTTTGATGGTCCTGGGGCCCAGAACGGACCCTCGGAGGCTCCAACCAGGGAAAAGCTGGGCGTCTTGATCTTGTCAAGAGTTGGAGAAAGAAAAAGCCGCTCCCACCTGGATGCACCGCTCCCCCTCCGAAACTCCCTCTCAGGATCCTGAACGGCCTCAGGACCAGTCACGCTGAGCTGGGAGGATGGCTGAGTCTCCGAAACGGCCCCACGGCAGGACATTCCCAGACGCCCTAGGCGAAAAAGGTCCCAATAACACAGGCAGAGGCTCCAAAGAGGCCCCCAAAGGTCTCCTGGAGACTTTCCATGGGGCCCTCGAGAGGCCCCCCCAGAAAGGTAAGCATAAGATTACCCGATGCGTTTGTTCTCTGCGTTTGCCCCACGCGCCGATCCTGGCAAGCCCCGAGGGCCCCTCCAAGTGGACCCCGAGAGGCCCAAACGGCCCCAAGACAGCGCAACGGCCCCCGAAGATGGCCGTAGACAATCCCGGGGCGGCCCCGTGAAGGCCCAAGTCCGGCCCCATATAGCGGCCGCAAGATCATCCAAGGTCCGATTGCCAGAGACTCCAAGCAGGCTCCTGGGAGGCCAGCCGAATGTGGAAGCCATCCAGGCCACAGGAACTCCACTGAGGAAGCGAGCTAAAGGGTATTGCCCACATTCTATAGCTTCACCCTGTGTATCACACAGACTCTGTAGCGGTCAGATTCGCTGAATTCCGATTCTGGAAAGTTCTGGGGGGGGGATCAGAAATAAGCTCCGGTGAGATAAACAAGCAGGGGTTACCCCATTGACGAGGGCGAAAACGATAGCGAACTTGGGGGGCTCCAAAACCATCAAATATTTAGTTGATTTCGCGTTCTGGAGTGTTTCGGGGGAGGTCAAACATAAATTCTGGTAACCTCTGGTGAGGTAGACAAAAGGGGGTACCCCATAAACAAAGGCGACAACGATAACGGAAAAGCTACAGTGAGGGTTCGGCGGGGTCACCGTGGCCTGGTTATATTGACAAGGGCACAACACTTTTTGGTTAAGCTCTGGTGGCCGTTTTGGGAGGATACACAAGCATCAAGAATGCGAAAACGCTGTGTTACAGAAAGCCCGCCCTCTGTGTGATAGACAAGGGCTAAACTATAGCCTTCGAGGCCCTGAGGAAGACAACCGCGTATGCATGCTGCGGCCTTCTCGAACCAGTGGAAGAGCATGTCCACTGTTACCGCCAACTGGAGCCCATGGACGGGGGCCGTCACATGTTACGGCCGTGTGGGAATCGATCGACAGATTGCCACTCAGCACGCTGCGCTGGCATGGCTGCTGCACCTGCCGCAGGCACCTGGATAGATGAGCATGTGGCCGATGGCCTCCAGGTCGTCTCGACGACTCTGCTCAATGCCCTTGTGGGCGTTGACGGAGGCGTACCTCGCGGTGCCAGTGAGTGGGAGCCTCGTGTACATCTTGCTGTGCTTTTTGTCGTAGTACTTCTTGCTCAGGCCGAAGTCTATGAGGTAGAGGATGTGATGCTTATCCCTCGCGCCGAACATGAAATCCGCCACCGTGCCCACGGCACTCTGGGGCATGCTAGATCGCAGGTTGGCCGTCTGCCGTGCCACTTCGGAAAATCGGGTCGGGCGAAAGGGGGGGATAGCAAAGGTGGGGTTTGAGAATCAGCTCACGCAGCTGATTCTCCCGGCGCCTCCCGGCGCCAAAGGCGGCCATGTATCGAGGAATTGGCCCCTCGGTGAGGCCGAAACCAGCTGCCTGCAGCAAATTTCGTAACCCCCCCTTTCCCAATCCCCCCCTTTCGCCCGACCCGACCCTGGCGTCCAGGTGTGGGGCGGACCTCTGCTGGAAGAGCGCGGCGGCCACCTCGGGAGAGGGGGCGCCGGTCACGCGCATCGTACGCACCGGCGCCCTCGCCATCGCTCGGACGTCCATTCCCTGTGTTTTTGTTGTCGGTTTCGTGCGTGGCTTTCCCAATCCCCCTCCTCCTCCTCCTCCTCCTCCTCCCTCCTCCTCCTCCTCCTCCTCCTCCTCCTCCTCCTCCTCCTCCTCCTCCTCCTCCTCCTCCTCCCCCTCCTCTCAAACCGATGGCCCCCTTTCGCCCGGCCCGAGAAAAGCCCCCCCCCCTTTCCGACACAACGCCTGCGCTCGCGGCGCCGGCGGGCGCCGCGAGCGCAGCCGCAGCACCGACGGGCGCCGCGCTGGACACTGGGGCGCCCCAGAGCGGGCGGGAGCAGTGCAGGACGCCCGCGGAAGGGGAGGAGGAGGAGGAGGAGGAGGAGGAGGAGGAGGAGGAGGAGGAGGAGGAGGGAGGAGGAGGAGGAGGAGGAGGAGGAGGAGGAGGAGGAGGAGAGGGAGGAGAGGGAGGAGGAGGAGCAGAGGGAGGAGGAGGAGGATGAGGAGGAGGAGGAGGAGGAGGAGAAGAAGAAGAAGAAGAAGAAGAAGAAGAATAATCAGAATAATAATAATAAGAATAAGAAGAAGAATAATAATAATAAGAAGAAGAATAATAAGAATAATAAGAAGAATAAGAAGAATAATAAGAATACTAAGAAGAATGATAATAATAAAAAGAATAATAATAATAATAATAATAATAATAATAAGAAGAAGAAGAATCATAATAATAAGAACACTAAGATTAATAATAAGAAGAATAATAAGAATAATAAGAAGAATAAGGATAATAATAATAATAATAATAAAAAGAATAAGAAGAAGAAGACGGAGGAGGAGCAGAGGGAGGAGGAGGAGGAGGAGCAAGGGGAGGCGGAGGGGGCAAGGAGGAGGCCCAGGCCGCCGAGCATCGGCGGCGACCCCCCCCTCTCGGCACCGCTGGCGCTGTGCTGCTCCCATAGCACTTGAGGACCACATTCCAGAAACCATGTCGAGCACCCAGAAGAGTATCGAAACGGTGTCGAACGAGTACCACCTCCCAGGGCCAGACACGCGAAGACCCTCACGTTTCGGTACTCTCCTGGTGCTCGAAATTCTTCTCCTTGTGCACTCCTCTTTGAAGGGGCCCTGGGACAAACAAACAAATAGACACGAATAGCAGGATTCCACATATTTTCGAATATTATCTGGGCCCCCCACTTCCCATATTTTCCTATATTATCTGGGGAATCGACGATTCATTGTGTCTGTGTGTGTTTTTGCCCCTCCTGACTCTTCCGCGCCTGCAGCCAAAACCTCGCGCACGTGCGTGGCCAGCTTCTCCCCCCCTTCCCCTCGCCTGATTTGGACGCCCGAAATGGGCACGGAAAGAACGGGTACAATGCCCAACAACAAATGTTGCCCCACACCAACAGCGGCCGCTGTTGGGCAGGAGGCCTCCTGTCTCGAATGGACACAGGCCGCGGCGGCGCGGACAGCGAGTCCTGTTCAAGATGAACAGGAACTGCTGTTGGGCATTGTACCCATTTTGGGCGCCCGAGTTATCCGGGGTAACTCGGGTCCGGGGTAACTCGGGTTTGGATTCCCGAAAAAGGAACCCGAGTTATCCCTGACCCGAGTTACCCCTGATGATTCGGGGCTCTGGACGCCCGAGTTATCCGGGGTAACTCGGGTCCGGGGTAACTCGGGTTTGGATTCCCGAAAAACGAACCCGAGTTATCCCTGACCCGAGTTACCCCTGATGATTCGGGGCTCTGACCATTCTTTCCGTACCCATCGGGCGTCCAGAATGCTGGGCCACGTCAGCCCCCCGGCCGGCTCCGCCTTAGAACGACCCCGCATGTGCGCCTCGGTGCTGCACGGGGCGCGGCGGCGGGGCCTGCCGCAGGCGGCCTGCTTCTCGGGCTTGACGTCCAGGGCTCGACCCAGTTTGGTGTGTGCCGTTGCCGTGTTGGCTTCGTTCTCCCTCGTGCTGGCTCCATTCCGCCTCTGCTGCCAAGCGAAAGCGAAACGAAAACGGCCCACGAAATCGCCAAAACACCGCCTTCGCCATCACTCGGACGTCCATTCCCCGTGCATTGTCGCCATATCCAAAGGATGTGTGTGTTTACTCCATATCCAAAAGATGGGCTCCGACCGCGCCTAACTCACCTCCTTCTCTTTCTCACTCAGAGTCACACTCAAGGCTACGACATGGGTCATGACATGATAATGATGATGATGATGATGATGATGATGATGATGATGATGATGATGATGATGATGATGGTGGTGATGATGATGATGACGATGACAATGACGATGATGATTACGATGATGATGATGATGATGATGATGATGATGATGATGATGATGATGATGATGATGACGATGATGATGATTATTGTGGTGGCAACGATGATGTAAACAACACCGATGATGGTGATGATGATGACAATGACGACACCGATGGCGATCATGGTGGTGATGGTGGTGATGGCGGAGTAGATTTGGAGGATGTATCGAGCGTGGCGCTGGTGGTGATGATGATGGTGGTGATGATGATGACAGTGATGATGATGGTGGTTGTGATGACAATAATTGTGCTGGTGCTGCTGTTGATAATGTCAACAAAATATGATAATACTGATGACGATGATGATGATGGCCCTCATCATCATCATCATCATCATCATCATCATCATCATCATCATCATCATCATGACGTGCGCATTCACACTCACACCTCGTACCACTGAGACTCATTCACGCTCCAACACATTCGCAATTCGACTCACTCCCAGACATGCGAAAGCTATTGCGCGTAGACGCTCACGGCGGACAGGTCCATGCGAATAAGCGCACATATGGGGAACTCCACTCAATAATAACTACTCCGTCCGCACCGACTCCTTCCATACTGACCTCATCCGTTTCCTCATTCAGACTCGCACTCAACGTCGCTAGACAGGTTATGATATGATGATGAAGACTGGGATGATGACGGTGATGGCAACAGTGGTGATGATGACGATGATGGAGATGATGATGATGATGATGATGATGATGATGATGATGATGATGATGCTGATGCTGATGCTGATGCTGATGCTGATGCTGATGCTGATGATGATGATGATGATGATGATGATGATGATGATGATGATGATGATGACGCAGTGCATTTTGAGGATGTATCGATCGAGGCGCTGCTGCTGCTGATGATGATGATGATGGTAATGATGATGACGGTGGTGGTGATGACGATGATTCGGGTGATGATGACGATGATGATCAGTATTGCTGATGATGATGATGCTGACGACAATGATGATGACGAAGACGACGATGATGACGATGACGATGACGATGACGATGACGATGACGATGACGACGACGACAACGACGATGATGATGATGCTGATGATGCTGATGATGCTGCTGATGATGATGATGATGATGATGATGATGATGATGATGATGATGCTGATGATGATGATGATGATGATGTTGATGATACGCTCGTTTCAGCACACCCAAGGGGGGGCCGCCAGGGGGTATCTCACTCGTCCGTTCGCGCCCAGATTGTGGGGATGTCTCGAGCGGTTCGCCCGTTGTCAACATCTTCCCTTGTCGGGGCAGCCTCCAGGATGCCCCAGGAGGCCCCAAGCGCCAAGAGACCCCAGGAGGCCCCAGGAGGCCCCACGAGGCCGCGGGAAGCACCAGGAGGCCCTGGGACGCCATAGAAGGCCACAGGAGGCCACAGGAAACGCCAGGAGGCACCAGGAGGCCCCGGAAGGTCCCAGGAGGCCCAAAGAGGCCCCAGGAGCAGGAGGCCTCAGAAGGCCACACGAGCGGTCCTACCCCCCCGTGTTTCACGGATGTTCCTACAGATTGGGCTTCCCCTGGAGCACGAACCTTTGGTGCTGAAGTATGTTCTTATATATTGCCCTTCTCTTGCGTGTCCAATCGTAAGTGGCTTACGCATGTTACTATAGATTGGGCCTGCCCTGGGGCACGATCCCTTGTTTTTTGTTTACGCGTGTTCCTATCGATTGTCCTCCTCCTGTGGTTCCAATCCTAAGCGTGTTACGAATGTTTCTATGGATTGGGCTTCTCCTGGAGCACGAATCCTCCGCAGCAAGCCCCAGGAGGCTCCAGGAGGCTCCAGGAGGCCACACGAGGCCCCAGCAGGCCCCAAGAGGTCCCAGGAAGCCCCAAGAGGTCCCAGGAGGCCCCAAGAGGCCCCAGGAGGATTCAGGAGGCCCCAGGCTCATGCGCAGAGACGCACTCGTACGATTGAGAGTCATTCACCTCTAACTCTTTCACAGTTCGATTCGCTCCCAGACCACCAATACTCAAGCCCGATTAGATTCGAAAACTCTGCACATGTGGGGAGCTCTATTCAAGCAATGAACAATCTGGTTTCACGCGTATAGGTTCCGCAAGATGGTCCAATAAGCTCCTCGATGGCTTTCGCCCTGGAAAAGATGCACACGTCCGAGCGATGCCAAGCCGTCTAGCTCGAGCCCTGCTGATGTCTCTGTGTATGATTCCCTTGGAGTGGAGGTACTCGATCCGCTGCAACGCTTGTTCCGCGACGAGCGCCGTGGTCTTCGGCGTCAGGCGTCCGCCGCACAGCTCCACACGGTCCTCGACGATAACGACGACGAACACGACTACAACGACCATGACGACGATCTCGACGAGGTCCACGACGACGAGGACGACGACAACGCCACAGACGATGATGGCAAGGACAACGACCTCTACTATGGTGACGTCTACGACGACAACGTCTACGCCGACGACGATCTCTACGACCACGACGACCGCGACGGCGACGACGGCGACGCAATGATTATCAGGCAGAGCACAAAACTGCGGGCGCCCGCAGACGATATCTCCGCGGGCGCGCAGCACCCGCGCCCCCCCAGACCTCCAGACACTTGAGAGCGTCGAGAGTACCGAACCAAAGGCTTCTCTCCACTTTCGGCCTCGGGGGGCGGGCAACACTCCTGTCCACACCCCCTGCGATTTGGAGCCTCGGGTTCCCTGCCCCAGAAGCCTGGGGCGCGCTGGACGCACCTGGAGGCTCGAGGTTTACCCACACCCAGTGCGCCGCGGCCCTGCAGTGCTCCTTCCCGAAAAGCCCAAGACGCACTGGATATGGATATGAACCTTGCCCGCATCGGGGGGCCGGCTTCGGCGTTGGACAAACCTCCCTTTAGTAAGGGCCCCTTAGTGAAAACGGCCTGGGACCGAAACCGACGGACCTGGACCCGCAAAAATGACGGCCGCGACGCCTCCTGCGAACCGAAAACGGCCAATTCCTCAATCGACGTGTCAGGGTAGGAGGTCTGTCCAACCCCGAGGGCTTCGGAGCCCTGGGACTGCCAGAAGACCACTGGGGAGGCAGCGCCGCGGGCGCGATGGTCGAGGGGCCCGGGGCCCCGAGGCTCCAGGGGTGCGGGCCCGAGCCCCTTCCCCGGAAGACGGAGCGGAGGCCCGGAGGGGGGGGAGGAGGGGGGGAGGGGGGGAGGGGGAGGAGGGAGGAGGAGAGGAGGAGGAGGAGGAGGAGGAGGAGGAGGAGGAGGAGGAGGAGGAGGAGGAGGAGGAGGAGGAGGAGGAGGAGGAGGAGGAGGAGGAGGAGGAGGGAGGAGGAGGAGGAGAGGAGGAGGAGGAGGAGGAGGAGGAGGAGGAGGAGGAGAGGAGGAGGGAGGAGGAGGAGAGGAGGGGGAGGAGGAGGAGGAGAGGAGGGAGGAGGAGGAGGAGGAAGGAGGAGGAGGAGGAGGAGGAGGAGGAAAAGGAGGAGAGGGAGGAGGAGGAGGAGAGGAGGAGGCGGAGGAGGAGGAGGAGGAGGAGGAGGAGACGAGGAGGAGGAGGCGGGGGAGGAGGAGGGGGAGGGGGAGGGGGAGGGGGAGGGGGAGGAGGAGGAGGAGGAGGAGGAGGAGGAGGAGGAGGAGGAGGAGGAGGAGGAGGAGGAGGAGGAGGAGGAGGGAGGAGGCCGCCCAGGGGTGGGGGGGGGGGGGCAACGATAGGGAGGGAGATGTGCATAGGGGAGGAAGCATCGACCTGGAATCGGCGATGCGTCGCCGATAGGTCGGCGACAGGCCCCCGATGGTGAATCCGCACCTGCCTGGGCGTGGTGGGGCTATCGGGCCCCTACCGGCGATCAATGGGCGACTGGGGGTCGATGCCTATCCCCCCCTACGCCTAATTATCCCTCCCCATCGTTGCCCCTGACGCCTAGGGGGGTGCGGGGACGGAGGTCCGGAACCGCCGCAGAAGCTGGCCACGCACGTGCGAGAGGGTCCGGCGGCAGGCTTGCGCGGCAGAGGTATGGCTACAGGTGGGCGCGGGGACCTCCTCCTCCTCCTCCTCCTCCTCCTCCTCCTCCTCCTCCTCCGCCTCCTCCTCCTCCTCCTCCTCCTCCTCCTCCTCCTCCTCCTCTCGGAGCCAGCTGCGGGGCCGAGGTGGCTCAGCACCGCTTCTGCGAGCTGCGGGCTGCGGCCTGCGACCCGCGTGGAAGGCCGCGGGGGCGCCGCAGGGCAGGGCCGAGGAACCCAGAGCGACGATACAACACGATCGGCGCTCGTGGGGGCAATCTTGAATTTGACAGATTACCAGCTTGAAACGTATCCCTGTCCTATATTTGACATCACCTCACCTCGATGCCGATCTTGAGGATTCCCTCGGTCTTTGAGGGCCTATCCCTAAGGTTGTCGTCGCTTTTTGCTCGCCCATCTTGGGGATGGGGATAAGTTCGAGGCTGGTTAGAGTCATCCTCTAGCTCGGCCCAAGTGTGAGTGCTGGTCCTGGCCAGCAGAAACAGGGGGGCCCCCTCGCCGTGCTGGTGCTGGTGCTGGCTCCGGCCGCGTGGGGGGCCCCCTCGCCGCCACGACGGAACGCGGCTCGAGCAGCTCGTCGGCTTCGACCCTGGGAGTCCTCCTCCTCCTCCTCCTCCTCCTCCTCCTCCTCCTCCTATCCTCCTCTGTGGACTGCTGTTGTCCGGGCCCCTCCAGCGCAGACCCCATGGCCGCTTCAGGCATGGAGCAGGAAGGCGGCGCAGGCAGATCGGAGTCCGGGCCGCCCCCCGACAGGAGGACGGCGCAGCGAGGCCCCCTCGACTGCGGAGGCGTGCTGGGATCTGGGAGCCCCAGAGCGCCCTCAAGCAGCAAGCAGCTGGCTTGCGGGGGCAATGAAGGAGAGGGATCCTTCGGGGATGGACAGACCCCCCTTTAGTAAAACGTGGTTTAGTGAAAACGACCTGAGGCCCAAACCTGGCGGGCGCAAGCCTGGAAAATAACGGCCACGGCGCCCTCTCGAGAACCGAAAACGGACAATTAACTAATCGACGTGTCACTGTTGGGGGTTCTGTCCAGCCCCGATTTCTGGCCATCTGGCAGGATCAGTCGGCATCGGCTCGGATCAGAACTGTGCGCTGGAGCGGGCTGCCTCGGCATGGAGCCGAAATCGGGCCGGATCGGCAACGCCGGGCCGCATCGGCTCGTCGGACGAACGGAACCGAATCGGATCGGGCCAGCCGAAATCGATACCGAAGCAGATCGATCGGGGATCTACTGACCCGGGTCAATCCAAGCCCGGGTCAATCAGGCCTTGCAGGATCCTGCAAGATCCTGCAGGATCCTACACCCTGCGGAATGCTTAAGAAATCATGGGTTAAGAAATTCATAGTCTCAGAATTTCATTAAAACCCAGAATTTCTGTCAAAATCGTAAGGATTAAATTGAAACATTAAGAATAATCGAGACTCTTGCCGAAAACTTAAGTTTTCTTGAGCATCGCCTACGGTGTACACCTAAACCCGGGTCAATGCGACCCTGGCCCTGCAGGGTCCAGCAAGATCCGGCGCTCCGACTGAGCACCGCTTGCATTGACCCCCGTCTGCAGACCCCTGACGTCATGGTTTTTGTCATAACGTCGACCCCCAGAGGTCTCGACCCATCTCCCGGAACCCGCTCTTCGTCCCGAGCCGTTTTCTGTCGGTCCCGAGGCCTGGTGGGGGCCAGGGGAGGCCAAACATGGGGAGAGACCTTCCGTCGTGATTTTGTCCTGGCTCGAAGGGGTCTGGGTCTCAAGGCCCCGAATCCATCGGATCGGCACGGGCCCGGTCGGGTCCTCCAGGCTCTTGCCGAGGAACTCCATCACCAGGCAGAAGGCGGAGCCCTCCCTGCCGGAGTGGAAGTACTCGGCAAAGCCCTGCTGCCGCGCGGGCCACCGCAGGGACTCCAGCATGGCGGCCTCCTGTCGTCTGGGGCTCGACGACTGCTACTCTCCCTCGACTCGCGCTGGAGCGTCCACACGGTCGCCAGATCTGCCAGGACACCTCTGGATTTACCCAGATGCACCTCAGTTTATCTGGACTTACCTCGATTTAGCTCAGCATATGCAGCTTGATCCCCGCAAGTCGATTGGAGAAGATCCCTCAAGCCCCTGGGGATCCTGCTCCAGCTGGGGGCAGTCGGCGGCCAGGTCCTCGAACTTGACGGCGACCTGCTCCTTGGTCGACGCATTCACCGCGCGGTAGACCTCCCCGAAGCATCCGGCGCCGAGCTTCTTGGTGGTCTGGTACCTCGAGGCGGCCCCAGCATCGGGTCGACAGATCAAACCAGATCGTCGCGACCGTCGAACTGGCAGGCATCGGCCGAAAATCGGCTGCGGACTGGATCGACAGGAAATCGATGAAAAGCTGCTGCCACACCGGATCATCCCCGCGCTGGATCGGGCGACTCCGCAGTTCGGGGGTTGCCACAAGTGCCCCTAGCCCAAGGTGCCCCCGGCTTATCGTCCGATTTCGTAGCCCCTGGCGCCTTCTGTTGGAGGCCTGGAACTGGGCACCAACACCAACACAGGGGGTTGCCTCCACAGGGGGAGGATGATCCTCGATTTCGGTGTTGGTGGCAATATTTCGGCCACCTTGGAAGCCAAAATATTACCACCATCACCGAAATCGGGATCTTCTTCCCTCGGTTGAGGCACACCGCCGAAATTGGTGTTGGTGTCTACCTCTAGGCCTGCGATTCTGGGCCTCGCGAGGGGTGCTCTGGAGGCCGTGGGGGGCTCCTTGGAAATCCTGGGGCCACCCTGGGCCAGGGGCACTCCTGGCAGCACCCGAGGCCATCGGAGCCGCACGTCGGAGGGCCCGCATCGAGCCGGCTCGAGCCGGGAGCCGGGGAGATCGGTTCGGCTCGGCGCGGCGGAGCCGGAGAGCTCAGGAGAGACCCAAGCACCACCATATACCACCAGCTGGGGGGGTGGCCTCCGCTCCCTCCCCTCGAGCTGGTGGCCCCTCCTTCCGGGAACTCTCCGGAGGCATGCCTGGAACGAGGTGCCGGCGGCTCGAGAAGGCGTGAGACAGCCCCCCCCCCCCCCCCGAGTTGGTGGTAGTGGTGCTGCTGCCTCTGGTGAAGAGCGCCCTGGGCACCTCCCGCCGCCGACGCTGGAGGGGTATTTCGACTTGCTGCTGGACGACGAGGCCATCGCGGCCCCCCCGCGGGCGGGCGCCCTCGCGCCAGAAACGCCATACGCCGAGGGCGGGCCGCCGCGCGGCGGCCCCTCCTCCCGCCTGCAGCCCACCACCATCATCATCATCATCATCATCATCATCATCATCATCATCATCATCATCATCATCATCATCATCATCATCATCATCATCATCATCATCATCATCATCATCATCATCAGCATCAGCATCATCATCATCATCATCATCATCATCAGCATCAGCATCATCATCATCATCATCATCATCATCATCATCATCATCATCATCATCATCATCATCATCATCATCATCATCATCATCATCATCATCATCATCATCATCATCATCATCATCATCATCATCATCAGCATCATCATCATCATCCACCACCACCATCAGCATCTGCATCATCACCATCATCCACCACCCATCATCATCACATCATCATCATCATCATCATCATCATCATCATCATCAGCATCATCATCATCATCATCGTCCTCCTCATCAGTATCATCATCATCATCATCACCATCATCATCATCATCATCATCATCATCATCAGCATCATCATCATCATCATCATCATCATCATCATCATCATCATCAGCATCATCATCATCATCGTCCTCCTCATCATCATCAGTATCATCATCATCATCATCACCATCATCATCATCATCATCACCATCATCACCATCATCATCATCATCATCATCATCATCATCATCATCATCATCATCATCATCATCGTAATCAGCATCATCATTGTCATCATCCCCCATTATCATCATAATGATCATCATCAGCATCACCATCCTCACCATCCTCCTCCTCCTCATCATCAGCATCAGCATCATTAGCATCATCATCATCATCACCACCAGCCTCATCATCCTCAACATCATGACCAGCAACGTCAGCATCATCATCAACAGCAACATCATCACCATCACCATCCACCACCACCATCATCATCAGCATCACCACCGTCATCAACGTCATCGTCATCATCATCAACATCATCAACATCAACATAATCAGCGTCATCATCGTCCTCGTCATCGTCGACATCGTACACGTCATCGTCATCATAATAATCAATATCGTCGTCGTCATTAGCATCAGCATCAGCATCACCACCATTTCCATACACGTCATCATCATCGTCGTCATCGTCATCATCATCACCACCGCCATCATCGTCATCACCACCGTCATCGTCGTAGTCGTCGTCATCATCATCACCAAAACAACAACCATAAAAGAGCAACAAAAACCACAACAACTGCAATAGCAACAGCAGCAGCAACAACAACAACATCATCGTGATCATCATCATCATCAGCATCATCATCATGGTCGTCAACATCACCATCGTCGTCATCATCATTCTCAACACCATAGTCATCATCATCCGTACAACTTGTGCTAATACCCCTTACCTGTTCTCCTGCCCCTCCTCGTGTTCCTCCGCCTCGCCTCCTTCTCCTCCACCTCCTCCGCCTCCTACACTGCCTCGTCTCCTCCCTGCTCTCACTCGTCGCGCCCGCCTTCGCCGTCTCGGGTGATGGGTCCAGAAACGCGGCGCGGGAAAAGAAGGGCGCGAGAGCCCGAAAGGAAGTGCGCTGCTGGAGCAAAGGGAAGGAGTGCCAGGGAGGGCGGCACGCGGGGAGGAGCGTCAAACGGACGGAGTGGAGCCGCGACACGGTAGAACAGAACACGAGGCGCACCTGGATACGTACGGGCCTCGAGAAAAGAAGTATACTCCAGATTTCGTAATCCAAGGGAGGGGGTCTGGACCCTCCAAGACAAGCCATTTCAGACCTCCCCCGTGGGAGAACCCTCCAAAACATCGTCCCCAGACCCCCCAGGCCCTCCAAGACAGCCTGGAAGAGACCCCCCCCCCCGAAATGAGACCCCCCTCCCTTTATTACGAAATCTGGAGTAGGGAGAGTGAGGTGGGGGGGGCAACGTCGAGGGGGGGAACAGCCAAGAAGGGGGGGGGGGAACATCGCCCCGCAGTCCGCGACGAATCCCGACAGGTCGGCGATGGGCCCCCGACAGCGAAGCCGCACGCTCCTGGGCAGGGTGGGACCACCATCGGGCCCCTTCTCGGCGATGCGGGGGTGACTGGGGACCGATGCACCCCCCCCGGCCTACACCCTGCGAACTGCTTCAGAAATCATGGGTCAAGAGATTCATAGTCTCAGAATCTGAAATCAGACCCAGAATGTCGATTCAGATGTTAGGATTCACACTGAAACGCTAAGAATCATCGAGACTCTGGCCGAAAACTTGGGTTTTCGGAAGCATCGCCTGGAGTGTACTACCCCCCTAATTGACGCTGGCCCCTGAGCGGCGCGGGCGGCGAGGAAGCCCGCCCGCGCGCCCAGACGGCTCTGCCCCGGCGACGGCTCCGGGGTGAGACGACCAGCGGGGAGGCGCGCTGTCGGCCATGACGCCCGTGGAGGAGCCAGCCTGGAGGAAGTGCACACCTTGGGCGCCCGAGTTATGCGGGGTAACTCGGGTCCGGGGTAACTCGGGTTTGGCTTCCCGAAAAAGGAACCCGAGTTATCCCTGACCCGAGTTACCCCTGATGATTCGGGACTCTGGACGCCCGAGTTATCCGGGGTAACTCGGGTCCGGGGTAACTCGGGTTTGGATTCCCGAAAAACGAACCCGAGTTATCCCTGACCCGAGTTACCCCTGATGATTCGGGGCTCTGATAATTGACGTTGGCCCCTGAGCGGCGAGGGCGGCGAGGAAGCCCACCCGCGCGCCCAGACGGCTCCGACCCGGCGACGGCTCCGGGGTGAGACGACCGGCGGCGAGGCGCGCTGTCGGCCACGACGCCCGTGGAGGAGCCAGCCTGGAGGAAGTGCACACACTCACCTGGAGGAGCCAGCCAGCCAGCCTGGAGGAGCCAGCCTGGAGGAAGCCTGGAGGAGCCAGCCTGGAGGAGCCAGCCTGGAGGAGGTGGCGCTGCGTATGCCCCGCAGGCACCACGCAGCTCAAGCCATCCCCGAACCTGCTCCGTGGGACGTGCAGCCAACGGTGTGCGAGAGCCGACGGGCGAAGAACGGGGCAGGCGGCAGGGGAGGGGGAACTGGCAAGGTGCCGAGCACCGAAGGCAGATCTGCCCTTCCTCCGGCCCTGCATGGCGCCGAACGCATCGGCCGCGTTGCCTTTCGACGCATCCACGCCGAATGTGATCTGCGTGTGGTGCTGTACAAGGCAACATGCAAAACAGGGCTAAGTGTAAGAGCCCCATGCGCTTGAGTCTACAGGTTGAGTTATTCGAATCATTGCGAGCTGCATTCATTGGGGAATGTACTGCTGATCATGGGTGGATTTGTAGCAAGAAAGAATTAGTAGGCACAGTGAGGAAAACTGTATCACTGACTGTAATGGTAATTGCAATGAAAGCTGCACTAAGGTGTGCAACTGGATGTGTGCAAACCTGAAGCAGGATCTGGCAGTTGCAGTAGGAACTGTTATAGTAGTTGTAGACGGAGCCGCTATAGGAATTACAGTCAGAGTTGTAGTGGGTGGTGTAGAAGGAGCAGATGTGTGAGGGAACTGCACTGCTGGCTGTAGCAGGAGCTGTACTGTTAAAAAGAGCTGGAACCAGGGGGCAATCGTACAACCGCAGTGGGGGCTAATGTGGGAACTATCTTACTGGATGTGCCACGGAAGCAGAGTATGACCTGCATATATATATACACACTGTTCAGTGTGTATGGAGCAAACATGACAGCTGTACAAATGGACGCGTGACAGGAGCCATTCGGAACTGCAGTGGGAGACGCAGTGGAAGCTGTGATTAAGTCTGTACAACTGGTTGCAATTGGGATGTGGGTAAGAGCGTTGCTAAGGGCCGTGTGAAAATATGTAGTAGCAGCCGGCGTGGGATTTGTAATACGAGCTGCACTAGGGTATGCCATCGGATGTGCAACTTGATCTGTATCAGGAGCTGCAGCATGATTTGCAAGAGGAGCTGCACTGTGAGTGGCTGTAATAATAACTGCTGCAGGAGCTGCACAGTCAGCTCGTTGCAATGAGGTCCGATTCGAGGTCGGAAGGGGCTCGGTGCTTCCTGAAAGTTTGCATGCTTTCCGTTGCGATATTAGTGGCGAGCCCCTACGGTGTTCCTTCGAATGTTGCGGCAGTTCCTTCTGATTGCACGGCTCGACCAGGAAACGAAGGGGCCCCGTTCCTTGTTAACCGCTGCTGATGTCAGCAGCCCGACTGTAGAAGAAGCCGTTGTAGGCATTGCAGTCGGAGCTGCACTGAGGGGTGTAGAAGGAGCAGTTATAAGGGAATTGCACTGCTGGCTGTAGTAGCTTTATTACGACTCGCCAAAGGAGCTGTAGTAATGGGGACCATAGTACGAGGTGCAGTGGGGGACTAATGAGTTGTAAGGGAGCTGCTTCATGTTCGCTGTGACAAGGAACATGTTGTAACACCTGTGCTAAGATATGCAGTATGTGTTGTATCAGGGCCGGTAATGAAAGCTGGACTATGGGCACATTCGAAAACACATCAGCAACGATGTTGTGGGGCACGAATTGGAGGCTGTCCTGAGATCAACACTACTGGTTGTAGCTGGGACGTGAAAAACATAAAGCTTTACCATGGACAATGCGGAAAACACGCCACTGGCTGTGAAAGGATTTGCCACGACTGACTGGTTTTCTAAGCAAAACTTCAGGTGGTTCAACGTTTCCTTTCAGAAAGCCAGTGGGGGCTTTGATCTCGTTGATGTGTCCATGGGGGCTGTGATTTGCACGCTTTCCTTTTTTCTTGGTTGATCGTACGGTTTTTGTTGGTTTTCGGCGTCCTCTCCCCCCCAGCGCTGTATCCACCTCCCCCTCCAGGGCGACGCCCCAACTGAGCGCGGTGGGCCGAAACCAACGTAAAGAGGAAAATCCATCAACACACCAAGAAACACAGTGAAACCGACCCCCCCCCCTGGCAAAACAAACATCAACGACATCAAAGCCCGACTGGTTTTATTACCTTGGTGTTTTAACGTTGAACTTCCGAAAA